TTCAACAGATAAACGATCCAAAAATGATTAACTTGCTTCTGTTGTATTTGCTTTGTCGGTTGAGTAAACAAAATGGCTGAAACATCACCAAAAGGTTAATTCCAATGGTTAATTTCATGGTCAACTAATGGTTCCACCAGCTTTTCTTGCATCTGATTTAGCAAATCCATTCCAATAACAACTGCATGTTTGTAAAATACTACAAACAAAAATTTAATAACAAATTTTTAAATATTTCTTGTTAGTATTAAAATGAAACTAGATCCGCTTATTATTTAATCATCGGCAAGGTAGAATCAATAATGAATGAAAGCTGATTCCTAGTCATTCCCGTTAACTGTTTTGATGTTCAACAATGGGCTGATTGAGTTAACAGCAATTAAAATGTCTAAATGCAATGGTCATAAGATGGTAATGATGAAGCCAATCAGCACAGGTATCGGTAGTAAATAAATTAATGAGGAATGTGGCTTTACCAGAGAGGCACACAAAACTAGATTAACGATAATCTTCTCCTTAAGCTCTTCCAAATCGATCAAAACCATCATTTTTCGGGTATTTAAACAGATGGCCAGCAATCAACGGTAATTAAATAATCTATCATGATTCAATCAAACAGTGGTTTCCCGTTCATTGAAAGTCGCCTGGTAACATGCAAATTCTGTAAGAGAAGAAAAAAATATTGAATTAATTAAGATTCTAGTAGTTTCAAGATGATTGTATTATATTAGGTAATAACTTAGTTGCTAGTCTTAAAGCGGTTACATATTTTTTCATTCGTTTTGAGACTTTTCATGTTGATAAATGGTGATAATAAAAGGTTTGGTGACAATAGTAATGATAATTGATGACAATAGCATTTGTGAAGAGAGTCCAAGAATAAGACAACATGAGCCATTCAGCTATTCTGCATGAAGATTGAAAATTTTGGTGTATTCAGAGTAAAAAGGTCGGACAAATAAAGAAGCAGCATTAATGACATTAAAAAATAGCCTTAAATAAGCTAATGTTTGATAATTTACCAAAGATTATTAAAAATTGCATTAAAAACACTAATCCAATTTAGCTAAGTTGAAAAGCATATAACTAATGATTTAGCATTCAACAAAGGATATTTGAAGTTTAGTCTTGCATCGTTAATGGCCAGGATTATTTCAACATATTAATGCATATCATTTATTGGGTGAATCAAAGCCATCATCTTAATCCTATTATTTGAGCGGTGAAATTTTCATGCATTGCTGGAGTGCAGGAAAGGAGAAAAGAAAAAAAATAAAAAAAATTAATATTAATGTGATTAACGTTGATCAAGTTACTAGGAAAGCTGAAAACCTGTGACAATAAAATGATGGAAAACAATTAAGAGTTCAACTCACGATCTAAATAAGCAGCAAGTTCGTGATCACCCTTCATAATTGCCAAGTCTTTAGCATTGTGACTATAAGCGTCTGCATCTGTAACTGAGGAACCCGCTGCGGCCAGAATAAAGCAAGAAATACGTTGACCATAGAGGATGGCATAATGTAATGGAGTTTGACCATCATTATAAGTTTTATAATTAATAAGGTCGGGCTGCAAGTCGACTAGATATTGTATAATATCATGATAGCCCAACATGGCAGCATAATGTAAAGTTGTTAATCCATTGGAGTCAACAGCAGAAAGATTGTAACCCTGTTCACGCAAACGTTTAAGTGAAGTTAAATCGGCTCGTTTAACAGCTTCAATAATTTCATTTGAATTATAATCAATGGAAATGTTATCTGGTCCAGTTACATTTACTCTAACAGCTTCTGACCTGGTTAAGCTGACACAATCACAGGCAGTCTTATTCAACTTGAAACTAGAAATGGCTTCATTTACAGTGTTATTGGCATCACTCTTGTTATCATTACTATTATCACCCGTTTTGTGAAAATATGAATCACTTTGATTCCTTTCATCTCTATTAAATCTAAATAGTGCATTTGAAGTCTCCTCAGCTTTAAAGTCCACTAAATTTGGTTCAATATCACGTCTTTCATCAGCTGAATAAACTAACCTTTGATAAATCATTTCATCAACATTGATCTCATTATTGGGTCTAACATTGTAATTACTTGAGTTTTTACCTTTATCACTCATTACGGTTTCTTTAGAGGCACTAGGATTGTTGGACTCTGTTGCTGTTTCTGTTAATGTTTCTGTTGCAGTTGTCGGTGTCCCTGGAATTGATGACGCCTCTAACAGTTGACTGGCAGTATTTACGTTTAAAGTATCACCCGAATCATCTTTACCCGATCCTGGTTCCTTGGTCGTGGGAGGCTTGAAAAGTACAATTGTATTATTGTTGTCTCCATAGAGAGCAGGATCAACTGGTGAAGGCGTCTCATCACCACTCAGCCCACTGGCGGGACTATTGTCTGCTAATTGGGTTGTAGGCACATTTGAGGCTTTTGCAAGTTTATCACGATCGTATCCGTTATCGGTTGGATCCAGAATGTATAGTTCATCATTGCATATATCAACAACATAGTGTAAATGCTCCTGGGCACGATCTATACGAAAATATCTTTCAGCAGTACAAGCTGCATGATTCATGAGGCAAAAGGAAAAGGAAAGAAAAGGTTGTACCAAATTAATGTGATTATTAATTACAGAATCATTGTTTACACTAAACACAGTAAGTAATCAATATTTTGCTAAGTAAAAGAGAGTTGCTCATTTAAACACAATCATTTCAGTTGTAATTAAAGAGCAATAAAGTATGTGTTCATTAATTTTTCCAGCCATTTTCCTAACCAACGTTTTTCACGTACATATGGCTGTCTTTACAGAGATATTCACATTTTATGTATCCAATTAGATTAGCCTGTTGGCTGAGTAATGAAAGATTTAGAGAGCAATTTGAAATGTTTTGCTGAACAAAAAGTTATTTTAAGCTTTGACATTTGACATGAGATATTTGTTTTCAACATTGAATCGCGTTTGAGCATGAAAGTGGAAAATTCAATTTATGAAATAGTTTTAAATTTACTTCATAATTTCCCCTGTTTGTTCAGTCATTTTTGAGGTAATTTAAAAGTGATGTCCCTGAATAAGCAATTAGATGTTAGATAAGGAAAAAACCAAAGGAATTTCTGGTTGATTTGAATCTTATTTGCCTTCAAGTTAAACTGAAATGTTTGCTGTTTTTAAATGCATCCCACACTTGATGCTTATTTCCTATTAATGGGACTTGTTGTTAACTGTGTTTAGATAAATAGATGTGACGGTTACGTACAATCAACGAAACACCAGTCATTTGAAATATCGAAGGCCTTTTCCAATCGATATCTGGCCATCTCGTCTCCTGGTTCTTTATTGAGCATATGAATTGAAGTTGAACCTTTCCGATGGTTTGCAACCATTTGTCTGATTAAAGCACGAACATGGTTTAACTCGAGGTCCGGATTGATTTGTAGTTTACCTAAAACTATAGCTGTTGGAGGAAAATGAGAAAATTCAATAGTTAGTTAACAATGATAATTGAATGTACAATTGATGCAGTAAATACTTACAAGCATCATGAAGTCTACTTTTATCATAATGGAATGTTTCATAATCCAAGATATTCAATTTTCTTACCGGAATTACAATTTCCCGATCTAATGTTGGCCTGTTGGCGGAAAAAAGTAAAATAAAATAAACAAAATAATCAATAGTAATCAATAAAGAGTAAAAAGAAATGACAATTTTCCAATAGCTTACATGGAAGCTATCTGGCAATGAGTTTTAGATTTAGCAACCATATTTGCTTGATTTTTCACTTTTATCCTGATAATTGAAGGTAATAGACGACAAGGTTCACCATCAACTTGCATAGGAATCGTTCGTCGAGTAATTATTTTAGCTTCTTTACATTGAGCTACACATGAACCATGACCACCTGCTTGAAGAAGAGGCTAGAATAAAGTAGATTAAAGATGAATTAGTAGAAGAATAAATTAGGGAAAGAAGAAAAAATTAGCAACCAAATGCTG